AGCATATTTCACACACGCCCCCCGCCCCCCCCCCCCCCCCCTGACACATCCCGTATCCCCATGAGGAGGGCGCTGCTGGGCCTCACTGGGAGGTGGCTGGAGGAGGGGTGGAGGCTGCACAAGGAGCACGCACAGAGCCCCTAGGACGGGGGTTCTTAGGCTTCTGGGAGCCTTAGGGAGGGGCTGTGACGAGCCTGGGGGGCTCTCTCAGCACCCCTCCTCATCTGTGCCTGAGCACATCCGCTGGGATAGCTATGCTGGTCCTGTGTGAGGGGTTCTGCCTGGCCAAGGAGCTGCAGGCCTGTCTCTTGGGGTGCATGTGAACCAAAGTGCTCTGACAGAAGGACCAGCTGTGGGGTCTGGGGGTCACACCACTTGAGCTTCCTTTTCCTGCTCCCCTGGGGCTGCTTCTGTCCCCTGGAATCTCCCCCACCCGCTTCCTTTCTTTCCTTCTGCCCCAGCCCCGCTAGGGTTCAGAGCTTCTCTGGCACTCCTAGACCCTGCTCACCCCACCTGAGATGCCCAGATGCCCAGAGAGGACCCTCCCCAAAAGCGGGCCAACCACGTCTTCAGCCAGCACCCCGAGCCAGTGTATGAGTGCGCATGTGTTTCAGGAGTTGGTGGTGCCAGCAGAGGGTGGAGGGGTGGGGGCACAGGGAGGGGCAGATCTCAACGGCACCTACACAGAGGCCCTGTCCCGGCTTCCCTGAGCCCCTCTGGAAAGGGGCCCTCGATGTGGCCAGACTTTGGTCCTTGCTGGGAGCCAGCTCCAGATGTGGCACTCCGCAAATATTAATTACACATTCCCAGGGAGCACTGAGCAGACAGGGTGCAGGGATGGCCAGAGGCAGACAAGATGGGCTGGGACTGAGGTGCGGTGCCGTCACAGGTTCAGAAGTGCCATTCTTGGCTACCCAAAGGGGATACATGGATGCCACCCGTCTGAATCACCATGACTGTCCAGAGAGGCACAGCAGTGGGGAGGGGAGTGGGAGGCTTGCGGTCAGTCAGGTTGCTCCGAGTCCTGGGATCCTGCTCTCTGTGGACATAGCTCAGCAGGCCGGGGGAGGAGCTGCCCCACGGGGGCTCCCCCAGGCAGCCCCTGCGCCTGCACCTTTGCCTTGACACTTCTCTCCAGCCCCACCGCTACTCAGGATGGCCTGCTGGGGCTCCGGCATGGAACTGGCTGGTGGAGACAGTTGGCCAGGCCCTTGGTTTCCCCACTTGTACGACAGGACCGTGGGAGCAACCAGAAGCTGGGCTAAGGCCCTCCTGGGGGCCGGGGTGGCCGGGGATGGGGGCCGGGCGCTAAGCCAGTCCTGCTTCGACCGGCATGTTGATGTGGACGAAGGAAGACCCTTATAGGTCCAGACTCGACTTCAGCTTTCCCAGAGGCGGCCTGTGGTCTCCAGACACGGCCATCCCAGGTCTCTGTTCCCAGCCCAGCTCTGGCCGGGCAGCTTTCCCTCATCTCCAACCCCCACCCCAGACAGAATCTTCTCACTTCCTTCCGTAGGGACCCTCCAAGGAAGATGTCTCCCCCCAGGGTCAGGAACCCGTCTCAGGGCTGGTGTACCTGATGGGCACTGGTTCTTCCTCACATCTGACGACAATCTCTCCTGTTTTGCTTTCCCACGAGGTCTACAGAGTTGTTTTGCTTCTACCCTGGACACCCAGTCAGAGGGTGGTAGGTCCCTTGGCTGGACCCGTCAGAGTGACCTGGGCTTCAGAGTGGGGAGACTGCCGTCTCCATATCCTCCTCTGTGCACCCCCAGGCACCTGATGAATTATTCATCCTGATCAGGCTCATTATGTAAATGAGCTCAGAGCCCTAGCATATGCTCTCTGCTCTTCCCCGCCCCCCAGGATGGGGACAATATGGTGCTAATGGGGGAGGGTAGAGAAGGGGCTTAGGACACCTCACTCAGCGTCCAGGCGCTCTGGACAGGGCAGACTGCAGCAGGGTCCACACTTCTGTGACCTGTTCATGGCAGGAGTAGGCCAGGGCTGGAGGGGAGGGGAGGCTGGATAACCCAAGGGGGACATGGCTCAGGAGTGTGTGGCTAAGCACGGGGGTGGGAATGGCACCTGAGTACCACAGTGGGGGTTCCTACTATGTGCTGGCCCTGGGCTTAGATAAGGAAACGTGATGGGGTCTTCACACATAGCCCCTATACCCCACCAAGGTGTGTCATGGTTTCCAACCTGTAAATGGGCCAGTCTGCACCCAGCCATGCCCCCATGGGGTTGTGGTGAGGTCGGGAGGAGGAAAGTGCCAAGGCAAGGAAAATGCTCCCAAATGCCACTGTCTGCAGTTTCTGAACTCTTCCAGCTGCCAGCTTCTGGGGGTGGGGCGGCCTCTAGGACTGGGGCAGACGGAGAGGGCAGCCATGCAGGGAAAGGCCGAGGGGGCCCAGATGCCAGGATCATCCCAGTTGCAATGTGTTTGAGGCAGCTCAGAATCAGCTCAGGGAGGCCTGGGGAGAGCTGGTGCCAGGGTCCAGGGAGCATCTGCAGCTGGGTCAGGGCACTGCTGCAAGCATCCTCCTGACCCATCAGAGCCGGCCACGGGCTGGGCACACGGCCCTCTCATATGCATTTGACTCAGACAGGGTAGGGGGTGGGTTGTGGGGGGTGGTTTCCTCCTGGCTCCACCAGGGTTGTTCTTTTCCTCTAGAACTCTCTACCTGTTCCCCTGCCACCCACTTCACCAGAGTACCTTGTGCCGAGAAGCAGCCCCAGAGCTGTCAGTGGGAAGTAAGAGGCTGAGGAAGCAGGTGAGAAAAAACTGGAGCAGGACAGAGGGCCACTGGAGAGCTGGCAGCCGGCGGCAGGCAGAGGGATGCCAGGAGGAGCTGGGAATGCCAGGTCAGCACTTCTCTGCCTGCTGCCAGGCTGGCCACAGCCACACCAAGCATGGCCCCGCTCCAGCCCGGCTCCCCTTCTCCCAAGGCTCATCCTGCCCACCCTTATGAGAGGGGAGGCATAGCCAGAGGAGCCCCATGGAACAGGGGTCAGGAGCGCCAGGTCCCAGCCCCAGCTCTGCCACAGCCAGCTGCGTGACTCTGGTTACCGCTGGGTAGGCGGGGTGGAGAGAGAAGTGCTCATTGATGAAAGTGTCTGGAATCGCTCAAGTGCCATCAGAAAGGAAGGGAACAACACATCCTAGTGAAAATGATCAATTAGGGAAATACAAGTCTGCCTTCTAGAAAAGGGGGTGTATCTGTGTCAGTCTGTCCACTACCATTCTCACCACCTCACCCTCCAACCAGACCTCCCAGCCACGCCATGGACCAAGAATGAGGATCGGAGAGGGTCCGGGACTCTCCCACAGTGGGTACGCGGGGTCCATCTATGGTCCTCATCATCCAGGAGGCTCAGTGATTCATTCAGACAGAGCCGGATCTCAGGCACGAAATGTGTACATTATTTTCTCATTGGCAAACTTTCCGGGTCTGAGCTGCCCGTGACTATAATCTAACAATGTCCTTGAGGTGTGGATTCAAAGCATGGAAGATGCTTGACTGGAGGTGCATGGCTAACTCCTTACGTGGGGGCATATCTTATATCCCGATACGAAACTTGCAAAGGCACATGATACACATTCCAGGGAACTCTCAATTCTTCAGTAACCTACACGGCTGCACTTGACAGTGCCCACTTAGAACCTAGTTAGTGCCGGGTGCTATTCCTGAGCATAAATTGACTTCTGTTCTGGAACAGCTTGTCCTACAGCGCTTTCTCTGGAAAGCTCTGCCGGCCTCCGAGCTCGGCTGAGTCACTGAGAGTTCACAGGAAGAGAGTGGGATGGGGTTACTGCAATTCAAGCCCAACAACCAGCCAGGGAAGGGAGGTTCGAGGGGCTGGGCCACCAGGGAGAGGACACCCAGCAAGTGGGTGGCTTCGATCTCCAGACTCGGATTCCATCTTCCTGCCACGTCACCACCTTGTTAGATACCTCTGATCAGCTCCCTCTTGTGCCAGAGGTCCTACATCCATAGCCCCTGTCAACACACTTATTGCCACCACCATTTCCTGGGCACCCACTCTAAGCTAAGCGTAGGGAAAGGACCAAGGACCACACCCCATGGTAGCTGCCCCACAGAAGTTACATCTACTGATCCTGGCCCTGACCGAGAGGGGCAACAGGGACACAGTCAAGTATCTCATCACCGGGCCCTAACAGTAACTCCATTTACTCTGCTGTTCCCAGGACGACCATTGGCAGGAAATGCCCAAAGATCCCCTGGTCATACTTCCTGGTCCCAGCCCCCAGTACTAAGTTCCCGGAAGTCTAAGCCTACTTGGGAGTACCCCACCGCAGCCCCTCCCAGAGATGAGCTCTTCAAGTCTCTGCATTTCCACATAAAGAGCGACAGCTCAGGCGCCTGACAGCGACGCATTTTGCAGCCTTCTGGGGGTGACGGATGGCCTGCTCTTCACATCACTATTTCAAACATTAACATAATCTCCAGGATGAATGTGGTCGCTCCTGTCTAATCAATCACCCCTCCCCTCCCGCTCCTTGATCCCTCATCTCGCCAAGCACCGGCTTTCAGCTCATCTTGTCTCGTGGGATAGCGCCTTGAGTGGGTGCCACTGCTCCCCGGGGTTGTGTGGCCTGACCACCACTCACCGCGGTGTACAGACCCTCTGGCCTGTGTGTACAACTGCATCTGCTGGACCCTCCAGCGCTTGGACTCCTGCCTCAGACACTGCCTCAAACACAGATCTCATCCACCTGAAAACCTGCAGAGCCCGACACCAGAGCCGACTGGGTGCTACTTCTACAGTCACCTCGGGAAGAGGAGGCTAAGTCCCAAAGGAGTCTGTTTTTCTAGTTACGTCGCCACCTGCCCCAGCGGGTCCAGCCGTGTCCCACCATGCCAGTTCCTCAACAATGCCCGCCAAACCTTCCTCACTTCTTATTTCTGAAGCCCTTCCCCCATTCCCACCTGGGAGAGGGTTCCTGAAGGGAAAGCCAGTAGCAGCAAACTTACCTCCCGGAGCTGCTGGACGCCCCCAAAGATCCGCATTACACCATCAATCTCCTGCTCCAGGCGCCGGGCCCAGTGCTGCATCCTGTGTGAGAGGAGAGAGGTGTCAGGAGGCCTGCCTGGTGCAGGAACAGCCTAGCCCGGCCACCTAGGGGTGCCCAGTGGCAGCCGCCCCTTCAGAACCAGAGTGCGCCCTCCCTGTGATTCCTTTAAAATCGAGCCCCCAAGGCCCGGGCTCTTTTCGTGTACTGTCGGACAGCCAGGGAGGGCAGCAGCCTGCAGTTTAAACGCACTGAGGGAGTCCAGCAGCTCCAAGAAGCCTGCAGGGAGGCGATTTTTCACAGTGAAGAGCCAGCCCTTGATGCTGCTGCTCTGAACGTGGGGACTCTGGACACTGGGGAGAAAGGGGATGTGAGTGAGCCAGGTGGCGCCTGCTGGATCTCAGAGCCTCCCGTCCCCAAGGCGGGGTGGGGTCTGGTGAAGGGGAGGGCACATGAGTCGCTGCTGCCACCACAGTCACTGCATAACCCAGAGCAGGCTCCTGCCCCTTTGGGCTTCTTCTGAGCTTCCGGCTCAGACGGTCCTCGCCTTTCCAGCACCCCAGTTAACAGGTGTTTATCTGAGGCTCGTGGCTCACCCCTCTTCGGAGGGGTGCCCCACACGAACCACCTAACCACGGGTGCAGTTCAGACCACCTTGCCCTTTTCTGAGGACCCAGCAAGCCACCACGAGTCCTTCACCTGAGCCACCGGCCTGAGCAGTTTTCCTTCGTACCTGCGCCACCTCACAGGGTATGAGAAGGGCACACAAAAGCAGGCGGGTCAGGAATGCTGCACAGGAGTCTTTGGAGCCGACAGGATGAACAGGGGGTCGCATGGCCCTGTATTCTCAGCCTACACCCATGAACAGGGATGGTATCTGGGGAGAGGCCTAGCCCGGGTTCTAAACTGTGACCCCCTCCCTTACCCCATCATTTCAAGCAGTGCCAGATCCGGTGAGTAAAGGGGCTGGTCAGAGAGACATTGTCCATGCTGCCAAAGGCGCTTCTGCTGTGACCAGAGCCCCCTGTCCTAATGCATCTGAAAAGGCATCTCAACTTCCCCAGCCCAGACACACAACGAGGCCTTTCCAGGGAGGACTCACGGGAGAATTACCACAAAGATTTAAATACACCATGGGTCAAACACAGCACATAGGGCAAGGTAGGGCGGGGTGGTGCCAGCCCCCCAGCTTCTGGGGAGGCACCCCAAGAGCCATAGGATCCGGCAGATTGTGTCTGGCCCCAACGCCTGCCCTGGGCCTGCTGCCTCCTGTGTTTCCTAGCGCCACGTGGGGCCAGGACTCTTTCTTATAGCTCCGCGGGTCATAAGAGCTTGCCCCTGCCCCACATTCCTCCTCAGGCCTGTGGCTGGGGGGATGGGCCCGTGCCATTGTGTGTGCCCGGGTCTGTTGGCATGGGAACTCAGAGCAGGAGGCAGGCAGATCACTAATTGCAATTTGCCAAGCTGAATATCAGGACCACGATGGGAAAAAAAAAATCAACATCAAAGGGAAGAGGTATTAGCTTTGGCTTGTTGCTGGTTGAGCCACAGCCTGATGTCCACCCCACTCCTCACTGCAGAGGAGATCTAACCCAGAGCCCGGATGGAGGCCAGGCACGAAGGGCAATCAGGCCTCGGACCCCAGCCGGAGAAGGTAAAGCCCCACAGAGAACGGAGAGCCTGCTTCACCCCAGCTCCTATCCACCAAGCTCTGGTCGCTTGGCACCGGCTATGGGCGGATAGTGTGGCAGCAGCCGTTTTGTGTTCCTGAGACAGAGCCTGAGGGGTTAATGTTAAGATGGGCTGCTGCACAGTCCTGTGTCTAGCGAGGCAGGTGGCACATGAACGGGTGAGGTCAAGGAGCTGGTCTCCAAGGGGAACCATTAGCTCTGCCCTGGCCCTGTCTTGACCTCAGACATTCACTGGTCTAGGGGACAGAATGCCAATCATAATCCTTTCCAGGACTAATATGTACAAGGGCACCCACTATGTATAAGGTGTGGTGCCAGCATGTCACCAGCTCTTTTGCTTCAATCCTCACGAAGAAGCAAACCATCATCCTGAATTTACAGATGAGGAAACAGGCACAGAGGCTTTAAGTGACCTGCCCAAGGTCACCCACCCAGGAAGTGGTGAACACAGAACTTGACCCAGTGGGTGTGCTGGAGTCAGCAAGAACCGAGAGTGTGCACCTCTTCTGAACTCTGCATTCACTGTCATCACCTTGGGGGCTTGAAACCGGCCATAGCGGGAATATTTATAAATTGGCAAAGGCTGCCAATCACAGTTTTTTCCCCTGGAGAGCAAACTGTAAACATTTACCAGCACAGCACTGATTCAGTCCCAGGCGGTTGACTCTTTTCTAGTGTATCTATAGGTTTTCGGTTCTAGGATTTCACAGATAAGTAAAAGAAAATTAATTGGATGAACAGGCATGGATGCCAAGTTTTTATTTTGTTCAGACAACACATTATTATTATTATAATCACCATCATTTCATCAAAAAAGGCTATTTTAACACTAAAAAAAATTTTTAGAAGAGTCAAATCAGGATCAAGTCCAATTCTTACCCAAAACACACACTCACTCTCCCTCCCTCCCTCCCTCCCTCCCTCCCTTTATCCCTCCCTGATCCCCCTCCACACACACACTCATGTATGCACACACGCACACAAGTCTCCCCACTCCCATCCCCAGGCTGAGCAGCTCCAGACTCTGCTATGGGCTGCAGGAACAGGCATTCCCATGACACATCAGGATGCACACACTCTCCTGGGGTCTAGGGGTGGCTCTATCCGCCTTGGTCCAGCATGCTGGGGCTGATGGGTAGACCTCTGGCTCCAGCTGCACTGCCCATCACCACAATGCAGGGCAAACAAGTTACTCTGATTATTCACCGAAACCAAACCCAATTAGGAAGGCAATATATGTGCCCAGGAGTTTAAAAGAACACGATAGATCACTCATTGCATCATCACAGAGACATGGCTTTGTGGGTTCCAGGGTTTGGCTGGTGTCCCAATGCTGGCTCCAAGGGGTGACACATGGGACTTAAGAGGCAAGGAGTCAACGATGCACGAGTACTGTCCTGCTCCAAGGCCAGAGAAAGCACCCACCAAGCTGAGACTAACCCTGGCCAGGCGCAGTCCTCCTCACCCCAGCAGAAGGGCACAGGAGCTCTGCAAGGATCCACGGCCCCAGTGGGTCACAGGCAATGGACCAAATCCTGCCTGGGCTCCCATCAGCCTGGGCCCAAGTGCCTGGCTCTGCCAATGCCTCCCCGGTCAGGCAGGGTGGCCCATGGGTAGACCCACCTGCCGGCTCCCCACATCCCTGTGATTTTCCATGCTCGTCATTGAGATGACACTGCTTATCTCCAAGTGTCTCTGAGTGCCAAGTTAACAAGACAGTGAGGAGAGAGAGTATTTGGGAGGAGGCATGTACAGCCAGGGGCTGCAGCCGGAATGATGACTGCTGTGGGCACAGGAGGCTGGGGACAGAGCCAAGCACTACCATGTTCTCCAATGTGCCTGAACCTAGGAGAGCAGGCACTGCACCCCCCATTTCACAAACAAGAAAACTGAGGCCACTGGCAAGGATGGGTACAGGGCCATATACTATAGAGAGAGGCCAGACCTGTCCTCCTGGCTCCATCAGCCACGGACCTACCCTTCCAAGACCATGAGCCTCCAGGAGAGGCTGCCTCTGCCAGCCGTGTTGTCTTAGAGAGTTCTGCCCCTTCCGACCCTCAGAATTCCTGTCTGTGTACAGGGGTACTAATGAGTGGCTGAGTAACGGCCAAATAAATTCACATGTCAGCCTTACTGGGCAGTGCCCTGAGGGTCGAAGCGCACCCTATCCAGCCGCCCCCCCCACCCACAGTGCTTAGGAAATCTCCCATGAATGCCTGCACCTGGGGAGAAGGGGTGCAGAGGGAGGGTGCTGTGGAAAGGTGTCCCCTGTGGCTCCCTTCAACCCCCTGGTCCCCAGCTGAGAGAGGCTGGGAGCGGGCACAGGGTGAACATGCCATGTGTCCCAAGACCAGCAGGCTGAGGGCAGCCCAGTGGGAAGAACCCGACACCAGCTGCCGTGGGATGCCAGGCCTTAGTCTCCAGGGCATGCTCAGACCAAGAGTACGTGAAGGAAGAGGGGGTGTCACCATCAGCAAGGGAGCAAAGTCATCTGTGTGTGGGTGAAGAGCTGGGGCTGAGGACCCCCTTTAGCAGACAGAGCCATCGAGACCCAAGCTGGAAGGCTGGGGAGTCCCCAGTTCAAACGACAGAGCACTCAGGTGGGGGCTGGCAGCTGCACAGCCTTCCCCTGCCAGGGCAGAGGGGGACAGGGCTAGGAGGATGGGGGCAGGAAAAGACAGCAGAGGAGAAGGAAGAAGGGAGGAAAAGGGAAGGGAAGGAGAAGGAAGGAGGGGGCAAAGATGGGGGAAGAGCATACGTGCAGATGCAGCAGCATAGATTAAACTGTTGCCAGTTGTTAATTTTATACGTGAAGCTGTTGATCAGAATGTGATTTAATTGTACAGTATAATCCAGGCTTTTGGAATAAATTATGCAGAAAACTCATCTATAATTAAACAAATCAAAAAACCAGAGACAGGTGACAGTGCAGGTTCACCCTCAGAGGGCACCAGAGCGAGAGGGTGTGGGTGGCTGGACCCTGCACAGGGGCAAGAGGGGGGAGGGCTTTGTTCAAGAGCGGACGGGGAGGCCCAGGAGAGACCAAGCCCTAGTAGGGGAGAGGGCCTCGGGACCCCTAGCCTGGGCCTCTGCAGGCCTTCTCACCACTCCCAAGGAGGCACTGAAACCCTGCTACAGGCTGCCTCTACCGGGCAGACTGCCTGGATAAACCCCACCCCACTCGGGGTTTAGGAGCAGTCTACAGCCCTACCCCCAGCTGAGAGTGGAACAGCAGGTGAAGCGGGTGGGGTGGATGCCAGGACATCACTAGGCTGGGGCAGGTGAGGGGTGTAGGGAGCAGGCACAGCAGAGGCCACTTGCTGCCAAGGGCACTGTGAACCAAGCTTGGCAGT